GTGTGTGTGTGTGTGTGTGTGTGTGTGTGTGTGTGTGTGTGTGTGTGTGTGTACTACTCCAAAGTCTATAATTGGAAAATTTTACACACTCGAAATTCAATTTTCAGTTGCTGCTGCTGCTGCTCCTGCTGAAACTATGGGCTAACTGTGCGAGCATTAGCAATGGGGATTAGGCTCTCAAAGCTCGTCAGGCGAAGCTGTGGGCCTCAGATTGAGTGTGAGGTTATGTGGCGATGCCACAAAGCATTGGCTGCTGACGAAGTTAATAAAGCTGAACTCGTGCAACTAAATGGTAACTGTAATTCGAAGAGCAGAGCGATAGGCCACTGGCTACTGGGCAAAGTAATACTCAAATTAAATTCTTCTGTGCCTTAAGAAAGGATATAGTGCTACGATATATATCGATATACATACAATATGATCTATATGTGACTAGTATTAATATGAGCAGTCGACAAATGCTGACGTTCAGTAAATGCGGATATTGAATATATTTTCAAAATGTGATCGATATTTATCGATAGCAAATAGTTATTTAAATTGAGAAGCAATAAATATGATAAAATTGTTGAATACTCAGCATGTACTTGTGTTTTATATATTTTACTATTCATTTATCGATATATATTGATTATCGATACATTTTATGAACAGTATTTCTTATGATATTTAAGCGTAATTCATTAATATATTTTTCATATATTAATATATATATATATTTTACATATATTGTTAATTGACTAACTACTTATCGATAAAGTCTCGATAATGGTGTTTGTCGATATAAATTGATAGCAAAAAATAACACATAAATGTATTTCCCTTATTTAGAACGATAGCTATCGACCTTGACTTTAATCCATAACGAATAGATTCATTGGCGCTGTCTATCGATATTGCGTTTATCGATTTTGAAGCTTTGTTAATAAATACAGTTTGTACATGCTGCTGTCATAGACCAGCTATATTCTTCGATATATGTATGTCTGTCTATCGATATTCTCGTGATATCTGCGTTGATATTTTGACTAAATTGGAAGACCTTACTGGCTTCTGCCTTGGCTGCTTAAGCAATCGATAGTTAGTTATGAAATCGTCTTAAATGCCAGCACATACCGATATTAGCAGCCGTGCCCGACTGAGCACCGCGCCCTCCCTCCCAGTCCAGTCGACGCACTGCAAGTCAAGTCTTCGGCTGAGTCTGTGCTGAGGGCCTCGGCCCTTGAGCTGCTTCCCTAAGAACGGGCGAACAATGTGGAATGGGAATGGGAATGGGAATGGGTCGCCCGTTCCAGTTGCCATTGCCGTTGCCATTGCCCTTGCTCATGCCTGCTAACGGTAGGGCCGCTACCCGTTTCGTGAGTGGCGCACTCGGTGCGGGTAGAGGGCAGAGGGCGAAGGGGGTGGAGCGGAGGGGTTGGCTGAAGTAACTGCGCCATAATTACACAATTTTTGCCTCTTTTTTTTTGCGTACTTTTCGTATAAATTTGCGTGCTAATCAAACACATTGAGCAAGCGAGAGAGGGAGAGTGGTAGAGCACTAAAGAGAGAGAGAGAGAGAGAGAGAGAGCGTAAGCTTTTTAAGGGTGGCAATTTGTCAACGTTCAAGTTCACTTGATGAAAACACACATAATCTCTCTCGCTCACACTATACCTCTTCCCCCGCAAGCCCCCTCTCTCTCCCTCACACTCTCTCTGTTATGCGCCTTCTCGCTCGCACAGCCGTCGCTGCTGACATTTAGCTAGAACAATAATGGCCATTAAAATGCTTAATTATATATTCGCAAACGTAGCTGATTTTTTGAAGCCTCCCAAAACGAGTCGCCGTCTGTGTCTCAGTTCCCCTGCCCCCACACCCCGCTTCACACTCCCCCAAGTCATGCTGACGCGGCGGCTATGCCGAGTGCTTTTTGGCAGGACTCGGCTGGCTCAATATACATATGTATGCAGCGACTGTTGGAGCTGCACTTGAGCCGCTGCTGAGGTTGATTGCCTATTAGGACTCGGGCAGGATGGCAGCCTGGTGCAGTGGGAGGGACGCAGGACGCAGGACGCAGCGTGGACAACAATGCGGTTGAAGGTGTGAAAAATCAGCGCAGAGAAATCCAAACAAAGGCAACGAGACAAAAAGGAAATGCAAATTCCTTGCCTTCAATCGCAAACATCCCGAGCCCCAATGGAATCCTTTCTCAGCTGGGCTACATTTTTTGTTGTTGTTGTTTTGTTTTGTGTTTTGCCAACACAACACCTCGCTTCAGCAGGATGTAATTAGTTCGTTAATTCATTAAGCGCAATGAATGCGAACGGCATCAAATTACCTGGCCGCGTCTTCAGCTCAACTGAGCTCAACTCAGCTCAGCTCTGTTCTATTCTGTTCCATCTGGATGACTCACTCACCTGTATGCGATCCTCTGGTAGTTCCGTTTTCAGCGAGAGCATCTCGCGGGCATAGACGTCGGGATAATGGGCCTCCTTGAATGCTTCCTCCAGCTTCTCTAGCTGGTAGCTGGTGAATATGGTGCGGCTGTGCCGACGCTTCTTCTTCTTCTTTTTGCCATTGGGCCCCAGGACCCCGGGACCGACACCGAAGCCATTTAAGCCATCCATGCCAAAGTCCTTGGCCGCCAACGAACCTGCAATGAGCAATTTAGTATTCATCGTATATCAATTTCAAGTTCAACTTTCAACTTTCAATTTAATTATCGATTCAATGTCAATCGGTTTTTGTTTAGCTATCCAACTGTTTTTTTTTTTACTCGTAAGCTCTACTTGTATTTTACATTTAATTCAATTTCAATACAATTTGATTTTCAATTTCAATCTCTTTTAGCTGTCTTCTATTCTTCAACTGTATAAATTAAGCGTTCAATTATATTCTAAATTCACTTCAATTTGTATTGTTTATTGTAGTTGAACTGTTGCTCTCTCTCTCTCTCTTCTTCTCTCTCTCTCTTTCTCTCTCTCTCTCTCTCTCTCTCTCTCTCTCTCTCTCTC